CATTATAACGCCCCCGCGGCTGAAAGGGGTAAGCATGTTTGGTGGGATTCGAACCCGCGACCCTCAGATTGCGAGTCGAGCTCCCTAGCCACCTGGCTATGCCGGACCTAGTGCATGAAGTTAAAAACTGGTGATTGCATAGATGAAAGGTTAAGCAATTTAATTTCTTTGACAAACAATTGAGGATTTGTTTTCCAGTTTGGACCCCCAATTTCTGCAACGGATGACGTTTCAGTCTCTCTGCTACAGAAAATTACAGCCTTTTCTCTGTAAATAAATGTAACGTAGATTTGTTTGTTACAGTTGATTAAAGTACTGGTTTACAAATCAAACATACCAGTTTCGAATTGTGATGTAACAGGGTGCTGCCATGAGAATCCTTTCCAATGGCTGAAATGAAGAGAGGGTCGTGGTCTAGTCTAGCCAAACAATCTGCCATGTTTCGTCCTACTCCGCCAAACGAAAAGTCGATTCTTCCCAAGTGGGAACTGCCATCCAGCTGAAAAAATAAATAAACTTACTGTTCATTTTAAACAATAAGTACAAACTCGACAGTTAATTAATCAATTAAACAATAAGTACAAACTCGACAGTTAATTAAATAATTAAACAATAAGTACAAACTGTACAGTTAATTAAATAATTAAACAATAAGTACAAACTCGACAGTTAATTTAATGAATTAAATAATAAGTACAAACTCGAAAGTTAATTAATTAATAACTACAAACTCGACAGTTAATTAAATAATTAAACAATAAGTACAAACTCGAAAGTTAATTAATTAATTAAATAATAAGTACAAACTCGAAAGTTAATTAATTAAATAATAAGTACAAACTGTACAGTTAATTAATTAATTAATTGATAACTACAGACTCGAAAGTTATCTAATGAATTAAACAATAAGTACAAACTCGACAGTTAATTAATTAATAACTACAAATTCGACAGTTAATTAATGAATTAAACAATAAGTACAAACTCGACAGTTAATTAAATAATTAAACAATAAGTGCAATCTCGAACGTTAATTAATTAATTAAACAATAAGTACAAACTCGACAGTTAATTAATGAATAATCAATTCCGATTTCCAATAGTTACTGTAAAAAATGTTTGAAATTCTGACCCAAACCAAACTATATTCTACAATTCATTAAGCTAACCAAACACACAAATAAAACAACAAGTAACTACATAACTGTTTCAAAGCTTCGTCGTTTTATTTGTCTATTATGGAAAGTATGATGTTTTCTATCTTGTCACTAGATGACATCACAAACACTAATAGTTGCTTGGAAAGCTATTTTTGAAGATGTCAATGAAAATTGGGTACTCTGAGATTTGATAAAATAATGATATTTTTCAATTTATAAAAAATCAGCTGAGGCTAAAGCAGTGACAGTTATATGTATTCAAACGTCAAGTTTTTTGTTTTTTCTTAACCAGTACATACAGTCTGAGATGTTTCAGTTTTGGTCTCATACTACACAACAACTAGGCTCGTTAAAGTATTCCCCATCTTACCTCATTACTCCAGAGCTTTTCGTAATATCACACAAAGAATAAGGTCACTTGCTATATATAACAACCATCTAGCCTAACATGTTTGAGAACAGCCATCAATACACATTATATGTCTAACATTTTTATTTCTAGATTTTAAATATTCTAAGCAATTAAAAACCATCAATACAAAACTTTCGTTATTACTAAAAAAAATATATATTATTTGTGTGCAGTATCAGCATAAGTACATTGTTTTATGATTGGGATAATTTATTCAATATTTACTACTTAACATGATCTAAGTGCTGCCACTTATCTGGCCGGAAGACATAACAATATAAAAACCATATCAGATCTTCCTGTGATACATATATATGTGGTTTGTTGGACTGATGTGTCACAAAACCTAAACGACAAAGATTCGGTTTTCCACGAAAAATGTTTCAACTTCCTGTGGCTCACACACGTGGTTTGGGTAAACTGACGTATCATAAACAAAGCCTATTTCAAGTTTCCGTTTCACAGAAGATTACCGGCACCGTTAACAAATCTATTTCCTTCTAAAGGTCTGTTACTTCGCACAAGCCATATTTTACCTATAGAATGGTTACTAATTCGCAGTGGCATATCTTTACTTCGAAAAATCAAATAATTTCTCATTAAAACCTCAACAAATCTTAGATAACCGTATTTTATTTACGTCATAAGTTCTGTTACTTCTCACAAACAATATATGTTCACTTCCAAATGTTTACTGCTTCTCACAAACAATATATTTTTATTTTAAGTGTGTATCAATTCATTCTGAAAAGCATGCTAGGGTTTCAAACAAAAATCGTTTTATCGAAATAAATACCAATTTTCATCAGAATGAAACTGCTGAAAATCAGGCCTTAATTGAATACACGTATGCTGGAATAAACAAAAAAAAAAGTTTATAGGAAACAAAGCGACATTAAATTTATTTGTATTGCTAAAAAGGGAAGTTGGAGTAAACATATCGCTACAACGGGCACTTGAGTAAACAATAATGTTTATAGGAAACAGAACTACATTTTATATATTTGTATTGCTGCAACAGGCAGTTGGAATAAACAACAAAATGTATAGGAAACAGAGCTACATTTTATATATTTGTATTGCTGCAACGGGCAGTTGGAGTAAACAACAATGTTTATAGGAACAGAGCTACATTTTATATATTTGTATTGTTACAACGGGCAGTTGGAGTAAACAACAATGTTTATAGGAACAGAGCTACATTTTATGTATTTGTATTGTTACAACGGGCAGTTGGAGTAAACAACAATGTTTATAGGAACAGGGCTACATTTTATATATTTGTATGATTACAACGGGCAGTTGGAGTAAACAACATTTACAGGAACAGAGCTACATTTTACGTATTTGTAATGTTACAACGGGCAGTTGGAGTAAACAACAATGTTTATAGGAACAGAGCTACATTTTATGTATTTGTATTATTACATTGAGCTTTTGTAATAAATCACAGTAATACTCAAAAAAAGCACTAACACGTGCACAAGGAACACAACTAGAAGATAAACTGCTACTTTTTCAAACCCGCAAACCCGAAATGATTCATCTTCGGGATCATACCATTAATATAGATATATAGATATTTGAAAACGAACATTTTATTCTTTATTTTATCTAAAATAAACCGAAGGAGAGAAAGACATATAAATCAACAATTACATTAAGCACACTCCCCTAAAAAAAGTGGCCTAGCTGTCATTGATAAAAATAAAGCTAGGGAACATTGAATGTTAAGACTGTACGTACAGATTCTAACTTCAAGGACCAAAACTGTCTTGGTTTAATGTTATGTACCAAAACAATATTACTAGCCTCTTCTCTCCTTTTCCTCTGCTAAAGGATAGATAGATACATAGAAAAACCTTTTAATCGCATATTTCCACATACGTTCTGTGTAATAAACGAATGGTGAATACGAATTTTGCATTTGGTTTTCATTTTGAATAATAAACCTTGGCTGAATATTATTTATGTGTTTGTTTTTTATTTTGTATAATAAACCTTGGCTGAATATTACTTATGTGTTTGTTTTTACTTTGAATAATAAACCTTGGCTGAATATTACTTATGTGTTTGTTTTTACTTTGAATAATAAACCTTGGCTGAATATTACTTATGTGTTTGTTTTTACTTTGAATAATAAACCTTGGCTGAATATTACTTATGTATTTGTTTTTACTTTGAATAATCAACCTTGGCTGAATATTACTCATGTATTTGTTTTTACTTTGAATAATAAACCTTGGCTGAATATTATTTATGTGTTTGTTTTTTATTTTGTATAATAAACCTTGGCTGAATATTACTAATGTGTTTGTTTTTACTTTGAATAATAAACCTTGGCTGAATATTATTTATGTGTTTGTTTTCCATTTTACACAATAAACATAAGGAGGATAGTGTTTGTTTTATATTTTACACAATAAACTTTGGGAGGATAGTGTTTGTTTTATATTTTACACAATAAACTTAGGGAGGATAGTGCTTGTTTATATTTTACACAATAAACATAGAGAGGATAGTACTTGTTTTATATTTTACACAATAAACTTGGGGAGGATAGTGTTTGTTATATATTTTACACAATAAACTTGGGGAGGATATTGTTTGTTTTTATTTTACACAATAAACTTTGGGAGAAAAGTGTTTGTTTTATATTTTACACAATAAACTATGGGTGGATAGTGTTTGGTTTATATTTTACACAATAAACATGGGGAAGATAGTGTTTGTTTTATATTTTACACAATAAACATAGGG